TTAAAAGGCTGGAATCTCCAGTGGGCCACCTGGACTGAACTCCCAACGTAATTCCAAGCAAGTATGAGTTCTGTGATCTTGGGCAAGTGCCTTATTTTCTCTCCCTTGTTTACAAAATGTGGATAATAATGCTCTTACCTCCTCTGATGGTTGTAAGGATTGTAGGTGGGCATGTAAAATGCTTGGCATGAACACTGGCCATATATATTAGATTCTAGCTCATACCAAATAGACAATTTCACACATCAAACATACTCAACAACTACATAGGTGAATGAACCAAGGTATTATTACTATACAATTTAGACTTACCTATGGCAAACTTATTCCCAAGAGACAGTTCTGACTGAGGAAAGGGAAGTTAATTTCTAATGCTTACCCAATAATTCAGTGTAACCCAATGATAAAAAACAAATCCTTTGTGCTCCCCTTCATCCCTAAAGTAACACCAGATTCTAAGTAACTGTAGGAGATTACATAGGTTCAAATCACTTTTGCATAGTTTAAAAAACCTGCTTCCCATACTCCAAAGGTAAAAGTGGCCTTGAAAAATAAGACTAATAGTGTGATGCCAGCCAAGTTGTGTTTTGTAGCTTAAATGAAATTCTGTTGTTTATATAAAATTGGACTGTGAAATTAAATTACAGCAAATAAATTACCTCTAATTGCCTCAACAGAAGTGCTTTCACTTTTGTTATTTTTGAATGTGTATAAATATTCTATCACCTTAAATCTGAAACCCACAATATTTCAAATGCAATAAAGTATAAAATCACACCATGTTCTATATGTTTCAGAGGAAAAATTAGTGTATTTGGCTTAAAATTCTTAGTAACAATACCTATCGTAATAACTCTAATACTTTAACAACATATAAACAATACCTCAGCTAAATCTCCTACAAACTGCATATATGAGATAAATATGAAGTTTTTATTGAAGATTCAAATAACATTCAGACTAACTTTTTTAAAGTACCAAGTTCAGAATTTAGCAAAGACACATTCAATAGTAAACCTTAGCACATCATCAAAATTTAAAGCAATCACTTTTGACAATATTCTTTTGGACGGTGTATTGGTAAATGTTATGAATGAGTAAAAGGCTACATAATTCAGAGATGTTGAATGTATTCTACTGTAATACTGTGGTACTGTGAAAAATTACATAATTTGTTTTCCAGACAAAAATCTAGCCTGCTATATCCTTAAAATTTTTTTTGCAAAATTTTAAAAACACTTTTAATCTTGTGTCATATTCAAAGCAAGTAAAATATTATCTTAAAATCCTCAAATATAACTTTTAAGAAGGGCAAAATATAAGTTCCTCTGAAATTAGAAAGTTAGTTTCCCCAAATCATCTTCTCTCAAGAAGGATGTATTAAATCCTGGTTATAACCACAACCAAAAAAACCCAAAGAAGCATGGAGACAGGTCTAGATGCAAACCTTGCCTCCAGTCCTTCTAAGACTTTAGCAATTTAACTGTATTCTGAGTTGAATGTGTAAACTTATTTCTTTCTATCTTTGGTGTCCTCGGCCAAAGGCAAGTAAAATAACTGTTTTTAAGTAAAAAAAAAACGAATATATCTAAGGAAGAATAACGACCATTAAAAAGTTTCTTCCATGTCTATATTTTGTTATAATGCATCTTGCTTGTTTTTAAAAAGCAAGGCAGTAGCACGTTTTCTAAAATGCTGAGCTACACAGAAATTTTGCTGTAAAAGAAAACAACTCCTTTATATTTCCACAATGAAACTACTTAATGTAGACTTTAGAGATCACCAAGAAAAAGTACCTTTCTATAATTTACATTAAATTTCTGGCATTAACTCCTTTATATCTGTCCTAAATCCATTTGAAAATTCCTGTATCCTTCAACTGGCTATGAGGAAAGAAGCAGATGCTTCATTCATTTCTGTATTTCTGACCCTAGCACGGTACTGGAGGCACTATGCTTGAATATATACATTCATTCATTCATTCTGCAAATAATTACTGAATACTCACTGCTAAATAGTACAAGAGGCAGGCTAAGCCATAACAAATGAGAATGCCTTGCCCAGGTAACCTTTAGGATGGTAAAACATTATTCAATCAGTATAGAAATAGTAAGTTCCCCTTGTGACAGTGTCAGTAAAATTCAGAATATGGGAAAGAATTTAGTATATGGAAGAATTCAGAATAGAATACAGGGCAGGAATCTATTCTAGTTTGGGAAAGGAGGGGTCAGAGTAAGACAGGCCTTGAAGGGACTGACCACATTGGGAGAGGGTAGGTGAAATAGGACAGGGGAAGACGTGGAATTTGTAAAATGGTCCCCAAATCAGGAAGTATCTTATATTAGAAAAACAATAGCTAATGATAAGGTTGGAGCCATTCAGGAAAAATTGGTGGCATTAAACAGAGTAAGAGGATCATGCCATCAAAACATTTGTAATGGTCACTCTTTTTCTTACATACAATAATCAAAGTTTTGAACATAATATTAAAGATGTATGGTCAAAAGACCTGGATTATAACCACCTGATCTGTTACAGGCCATATGACCTTGGGCAAGTCACTAAACCAACCCAAGCCTTTTCTCCTCTCTGTAGCCACTCAATTACTCTACCAACTGGGACTACAGAGATTAATAATATACAGTTCCTGCTCTTATAGACTACCCTTTAAGACAAGGACAGCTAAATAAGGAAGACCTCCAAAGTCCTGCAAAGGATAATGTCTGAAAGTTGATGCAAAGCTACAGTAGAGCGCTCTTATAGACTACCTTTTAAGACAAGAACAGCTAAATAAGGAAGACCTCCAAAGTCCTGGAAAGGATAATGTCTGAAAGTTGATGCAAAGCTACAGCAGAGAACAACTGTGGCCACTGAGAGCTGCACACTACAGGTTAAACAAGCCACGGTGAATTCTAGCTAGCGACTGAAGGATTTGAAATACAGCAATAACATCATTCATCTCAGCACTACAAGTGTAGTGATGAAACACTACAATTATAATGGACCTCAGAGACACAGAGATGTTTAGAGTAGACAAAAATTATTTTTTTCATTTTTGTTTAAAAAAAAACTCTCCATAACCACATAGCTATGTGCCAGTTAAAACTCATTTCAAACCTTTCCCAGCAAACAGCAAATGTCCACAGTCATCTAGAAAATATACTGGCATTCTTGCTTTACCAGCATTGATGTATATATGGCCCATTTAAATCTTTTAATCTACTTCAAAAGCAAATTAACCCCACAATTTCCCATTTGTTTAGTTGCTTCTTCCTTATTTTGTACTACTCTATGCATGATGTTATATTATCCCTGATTTTGTCCCATTTTATGCTACCATACCTCTCCATTTACTTTAAAAGTCACAGTAAAACAAGACCATATTAACTTGAACGACAGAGAAACAAAGATTCTTCTGATCCCAGAAAAGTTTTGCATTTAAAAAAAAAAACAACAAATTTTTAATATTAATCATAGCAAGCAAAGCACATTCAAAATATAGTGTATTTATTTATAGTATATATTATGTATTTAATATTTTAATTTACACAGCATGCCTACTAACTATAAATGTGCATGTTTATGGATATAATCTTATGAAGAAATCTTGTCTTCAATAAAAAACTCCTACAATTCTATTAAAAACTATCTAATAATATCTATCAGCTAAAATTAGTCACTTGTTTGAAACAAGTGCATTGCCTTTTACTGAATACAGAAGCATAATTTTTTCACTCTTTAACATTAAGAATGAATGAAAAGTCACAGATGATGGCCAAGAAAAAGAAAACATACAAGCACTTGTTTTACTACTTATACATGGAGTGAAGAAAATGAGGGAAAAGTAAAAACCTCACACCAAAAAAAAAATAGTCATTTCTGGTAATGACCATGTTATAACTTCTCCATGATTCTGCATTTAATTTTCACTTAATGAAAACATTAAAATGTGTAAAATAAGTTTTGTGAAAGTTTCACCCGTACTTTACTCTTAGTTTTAGAAAATAGGAAAGTAGTTTTAGAAAATAGGAAAGTACTATTCTCGTTATGGCAATGCTGAGCTTATTGCTAAATATTATCTATCCTTTAAAAATGGCACGTGGAAGTTGACTGTTATCATTTAGTATGCCACAGAAAAGGGGTAAATATCTAAGCTAAAAACGATCCTTCCTGTTTTAACAAAACGTTAAGAGAGGATGCTGTGGGAAGAATTTCACTCCACTTCAACAAACCAAATCTTCACATCCTAACGTTTCTGAGGAATGCACACACTACTTTGCAACTTCTTTTATCCGCTTCGAGCACTACCAACCACCTCCCCACTTTCTTTCTAAGCAGACAACTCTGGTCAGAACTTGGACTTTCAGCGGACTAGATTCTGGAGATCTGTGTGACCTTGGGCACGTCATTTATTTCTTTAGTTTCCTCACGAGCATCCCAAAGTGAAAGCGCATTTGAGTACAGTTCAGAAGTAAAAGCATCTGACGTCTTAGAGTTAAAAGGGACAAACCTTTCTAGTTAAGAATTACCTCCTTAAAGAGGCCACATCAGGAAACTGGAACTGAGTCGGAACTGTCAACACTGGCTCTCCTCTTCCCTCAAAGGGCATAACCCCAGTCACACCGGGAGCCGACTCCCGGGCTCCCACGCTCGCCCCAGGCCTTACACAGCTCCAGCCTCACCTGCCGGGGACCCCACCCCAGCACATCCGCCCCCTCGGTCGGCGGGGACCGGGAGGCCGACCTCACCCTTCCCCTCCGCCCGCACCCACAGCGGACTTCCTGGAGGTGCCGGGCCGGGCCGGGCAAGCGGCATTTACAAACCAGCTTTACGCAGCTCGCGTAAAGACCTCGCTGACGCCCAGAGGGCCCCGCTCCCCGCCCGTCCGCCCGCCGGCCAGAGCCCAGCCCCAGCACCTCCGCCTCGGCCCCCGCCAGACCCCAGGCCGCGCTGGCTGCCCGCGCAGCCGTGCGGACCCGAACCGAGAAACCTCGCCTTACCGGCAACTGAGGCACGGACTTCACTTCCCACCTTTGGAGCCCTCTTCAACTCCCGGATCAATTCACTCCGGCGACGCCGGAAGGACCCGAGAGGAACCAGGCGTTGTCCGGAATCCTGCCCAGCAGGAGTCGCGCAAGGCCCGACGGGGATTCGTAGTTCCGCCCGCCAGTTCCGTCAGCACTTCCTGCGATCACAGGACCACATTTCCCAGAAGGCGCTGCGAGAACGCCCAGGGCGATAGGTGGGGACACTTCTAGCAAATAGGAAGAGAGTTCCCCGCCTTTACGGGAGGAAGGGAGATGAAGAGAGAGGGAGCGCCCAGAAACGGAGGAAGGGCGGGGCCGACTCTCACCTGCACCAATCAGAATGCAAGGCCGGCCCTCAGACGCCGCGCCCACCGATGGGCGGGGCTCGCGGATGGGTGGAAGGAAAAAGGGTGGGGGACCAGAGGTGGCAAGCGACCGGCAGCTGGGCTGGGTCCTTCCTTGGGTAGGCGGCAGAGGAAGCCTCCAGGGACTGGAGGGGTGGAGGAGGGAGGGTGAGGCGTGGGCTCCGCTTGGGCCGAAGCAGCACTACTCCCCAGGACAGCCCACCCCGGTGTTCCCTGGGCCAGCCCACTGAGAGGGCTGAACAGGACCGGAGGAAGCGCCAGGTGCGACGCAGGGCGGGGGGCCGGGGGTGGGGTGGGGGGTCGAGGCGGAGCGGACCGAGAACCAGGACCGGAGAGACACTTGCTTCAGTACCGCTTCGCGCCGCCTGCAGCCCGGGCTGCGCAAACGGCAGAGGGAGGAGCCGGAGCCCGAGGCTCGGCCAACGAGAGGAGGGGAAGGCGGAGCTTGGGGCTCAGTAGCAGCCCAGGCTCAGCCCGGTCTGTAGTTTCCCCGGAGAGAGGTAGGAGCCGGAGCTCGAGTGAGCGAGCGAGCGAGCGATCGCAGCCCGCCCAGCTTCCTCCAGCATCCCGAGCCCGGGATTGCAGGTGAGCGGGAGGTAAGCGTGGGTGCCCTTTGGCGACGCCAGCATACCGCCCGGGGGAGAAAGGTTTCTGACAATAGGAACGCCAGGGCAGAGCTGAAAGAGTGCGACGTTGCCTTAAGATAGCGGCGCAAACCCTTTCAGGGGAACTATGTACAATTTTGGACTTCTGTAGGGAGAAAAAAAGCAAAAGGTAACTCCGTCTGAGGTTTGAAGGGCGCGGTTAGTGGTTTTGTTTTGAGTTGCACCGTTAAAACTGATGTGGGAGACCGCAAGATTGAAGAAAGCCCTGTTAATTGAGAACCAGGTGGACGGTGTCTAGATAGGTGCGTAGCTGGTAAAAAGCAAAAATGTCATTGATCTAGAATCACTTCCGAACTATTTTACTAGGAAAATAACTTTGTTCTCTTCAGTGCCTGCCGCTTGTGTTGTATCAGATTGTTCTGTCACGGACCTGTTATCCAGGGTGGTTGTATTGCAGGTTCTTGGGATTGCAAAAATATCTAGATTAAAGGAGCAAATAATAAAATAGAATGGGTTCAGGCTGAACCTATCGTAAGTGTAACTTTTACCGCGATAATGAGAAAATAAATTTAAATAGGTGGTTGTTCAGCGTTCCTTCCTGCTGGCGCTGGAATATTGAAACAAAGACCTGGATTCAGCCTACAACAGGAACATATGGTGTACTTATTCGCTGCTCCTTAGTCTCTCATTTGTGTCCGGTAACATTTGCTCGTCTTTTGAAAACAGGAGTACAAGGGAAGCTGTGTGGAGGAGCTTTCCTCTGTTGGAGAGACTAGGTGTAAAATGATAACCTTTAGTATGTTATAATGGGTTCCGATTTTAGCGATATATAGTATCATAAAATAGTTCATTCTCATGTGTATACTTTTAAATGTAAGTTTAATAAATATGTGTGGAATTATGTTGAAATATTTGGTGAAGATAATAGTCTTCCATACCTCTGTGTAACTAGGACAGATTACAGCCTTTTCATTTTGGAAAAATAGAATCTATCAGCTTAGTTCATTTTCTTGTTGTTACATAGTGTCCGAGATTATATGCCTATTAATGATAATACCATATTGCAGCAAATCTGCTCTGAAATGCCTTTATTATGACAGTTGACTGTTCCATAGAGTGTCAGAATACTTTAGATTTTTTAAAGAATGATCAATAAGATCCAGTAACTACCTTCTATCTTCTTCTGTTGTCATGCTATTCTGATTTACTTTAGGGTTTTGAATTTTGTTTTGTAATTCACACAATTGCCTTTTTAAGATGACTGGCTCAAAGGTATTCTCTCCATGGCTTAAGGTTCAGTTCTACTGAGTGCTGGTACTGATGAGGAATCTACATCACTGAGTTAATTAGATCCTTCCCTCCCACATTCTCATATCATATGCCAAAGAACTGTGTACACAGACAAATCTTAAAAAATAAAAATAAACACAAACAAAAATATCTAGGCTTAGATTGACGATCATGTAAGTATGAGAAGACCCAAAGAGCTTGTAAGACAGAAAAAGCAACAGAAGCCACTAAACTTAGCAGCCACAGTAAGGATGGATGTTTTTTTTGGGTACACTACTGGAGACCTGTTAATTGCTGTAGCCATCTAGCTGGTGTGATCTCCAAACCATGATTTGGGGAGAGCAAATATGATCTGGTGGTTTAGTTATACTTGGAAAGGATTGTGCTTGCCCTTGTTATTTGTGATGTAGGTGCATAGTCCTGAGTCAGAGTCTTGGATGCTAAGGCTCCACTGCTGATTCATCTGGAAACTGAATCCCTGTTGTCTCTAGCTTATTCCTTCCACAGAGTGATAGTAGTTATTTACATGACTGCTAATGAAGCTCTTTCAGAGCCTTTATGAGAAGGACCTTTTGAAAGAACTTCTGATGGAAATCAGCCAATAACCAAGAAAATGGATAGAAGATAATTGACATGAAAACAGGTGAAATGGAGATGCATTTTGAATCTCACCTAGCTATATACATCTTAGATCTGAGGTGTCATAAGACTTAAAAAAAAAAAAGATTGCAATTTTAAAGTACCTAATCTTTCCCTGTTTTCAAGAGATTGGATCCTTTTAAGAATTCAATGGGTGAGATCGGGTTCTTGTGTCAGTTTGAGAGTGAGAAGACCATGTTTCTATATGAGAGCAAATCATTAAAATATCATACTTGGACACTTATTTTTCACCTTGAACTCTTCATCTGGTTTAATTGATGTTCACATTCTATTTCAAATAACCAGAAATGTTTTATTGGTTAGTGTTGGGAAAGGCCATTCAGTGTATATAAAGTATCAGCTATGATTAAAAAGCAGATTATCCTGCTCATCTCATTTTTTTTGCTGTTTATGCATAGCTATGAGTGAGTATATGGTATGAAAAATGCAAATGTTTCTGTTCTATAGAAACTCCTCAGAGATGACTCTCCTTCGGCCAGAAGACTTGGTTAATTTCAAAGAGCATTATTTTTAGGACCTCTCATTAAATGTGATATTCTGACTCTAAGCCTACTGAGTCAACAATTAGCTGGAATATGTTTCTAGTGGGAGGTTTGGTGACTGTCTCTGACACAACAGAATAAGTACATACAGGTTCAAGAGCAAATGGTTTTGCTGTGAATGGGAGACAGGGAAATGGATTTTTTACAAAATGCTTGAGAAGCATACCTTTGGCATGAGAGAAAAAATGCTGGATGTTTTGTGTTCATGTAAGAGAATATGACCTTCCTTTCTCAACCACTAATTTCTACAGACCTACACACATAACACAGACCTTACTTTTTTACACTGTGAGTCACTACATCATTAATACGTTAAATTTTGAACAGTTGTAGGTTATAAAGGCAGAACGAATACATGGTATTATTTGGACAAAATTTTTAAAAGAAATGAAAACTAAAGTGATATTTATTCCCTTAACAGAACTGCTTAAACAGACAATATAAGCAATAACCAGTTTAGATTTTTACAAAATTTCCTAAGGTTAAATACTGATTTGGGGATCCAGATCAATTGTTTATTCAAATAAGGATTGGTTTTGCTTTTTTTAGTCTTACAGCTAATATTTTCCATATCTCATTCTTAAAATTTGGGTAATTATGTTTTTTTCTATTTTTATAGGATGTATAAATAATCATTTTCATACATGTAGAGTATTATATTTTTATTGTCATTGTCATGCCTGGGAGTTGAAGCTAGGCTCTCAGGCATGATAACTAAACACTCTACCACTGTACTACTAGCTCATTAAATTTGGAATTTGAAATCTTCGCAGTCTTTTCTTTGTTTTTGTGTGATAGCATGTTACTCAATTCCTTAGGCTGCTCTTGAAATTTTGACCCTTCTGCCTTAACTTCTCCAGGAGGCTTGGGTCTTGGAAGTTAGAGCATTAGGCTCTCCAGACCAGGTGCTTCTTTTCTAGCTCATGTTGATCTGGAGCAAATCCTGTCAAGGTCAGCAGAAGGAAGCTGCACTGTGACCGACTACCCACTCAATTAGACATGTTGTCCAGTACTGGGAAGTATACAGTGAGACACCTGTATTTCCATAGATAAGACAGTTGATCCCACCGAGTGGTTACTGTGTAAGTTAGTTATTCTGAAAATAGCTTTGTTCTGATTAACTATTCAGATGTGTTGATTCGAGCCAGATTTGATTCAGATTTTGTGGGCTGCAAAATTTTATCTATAGTTTTGGGTGACAGCATTTCTAAATTCATTCCAAAGGGAGGAAATATGGTTGAGATGCGTGGCACTGCCAGGAGACGCTCCGATGGTGGACATTTCCCAGCCAGGGAAGCCTGTGACTCACCTCCATTTGCCATCAAGCCTCTGAGAAAGATCTTTGCTAATGTCTTCCTTTTAAAACCGAATTTCATTGTGTAAAGTCTGAATTTGTTCTTCAGTTTCTCTAGTTATTTTTTTCTACCCCACCCTCAAGAAGAGGAAAGAGGGTCTTCTGTATTATTTAAGCATTTGTAGATTTGGGTGTTCGATACTTTTGACTTGACATTTTAGAAACATATAGTTTGGTTTGTGTCAGAATTAAAATTTTGTAAGGTTTTTTTTCTCTTTTGTTACTATACACTTGGTGAATGCTAGTTAATTATAAACAATT